AATCTTAAATTGTTATTTGATGTTCATAATCGGCGTTATGACATGCTTTTACCTTTTTTCTCGGGCATTGATGTATTCAAGAGCGGGGGCGTGGCCCGAGTCACACTTGAACTATACAAAAAAGTAATTTGGGCGGCCTGACCCAGCCGTAAAGGCGTCTGGAAATCACCATCTTGGCAACTGTTGATTGCGGGCTAATACACTTTAAGCTTTTGCATGCAAGCTGTTTGATCCGGCGTACTCTTATTAGAGCAGTGGAGCATTACCACACATTCGACTCCTCCAGCAGATTTAAGTGATTAGGCAAAATTTTAACGTTGTTATAACGGCCAAGAACATGGGTCGAAACGAGGCCCAGGTGTCGACGTCGAGATGTCATAACCACAGGAGGCCAAAGGATTCTGACGAAGGAAAATGGACGATGGTATTGGCCAGATCGTCGGCCGATTTGGAGCGACGTTCACATGTTTCCGTACGTAAATCGGTTGCAGTTGGGGGCCTTTTCAAGGAACGATGTCGAATCTCAGTAACCAGAACATATGAAGACGTAAGACCAACTGCAAGGTGTAGGTAAATGTATTGGTTTCAATTCACTTATCGACTTCAAAGCCACCTGACCTAAACGTGCGCCAATTGCAGGCAGCGAATTTGTCATTGCCAACTATTTGCTAACCGATCTGGAACAGAGGTGCTGTGCCCAACTGAAAGAATTACGCTGCGGAAGCCACGCTCGGATCCGGCCCCGTTTTTAGGTGACCCTTCCCCCCCCCCCAAAGAAATGCTTGCGTGATTTGTAAAACTCTGATCACGTGTGTTAAGCCCACAATTATTTGGTGGCGTATTGTGGCAAAAGATTGGACTAGATACAGATGTTGGAAAAATTACGTTATAGTTATGGGTGTGGGTGAGTAGTTTTTAAACGAAGAAGGAAAGATATCAAGAGGTAGTAGATAATGCTGCTGCTTCCGCTTCCAAAAACCTCCGCGTCTTTTTTACTTCAGCTGCTTTAGTAATGATCTCCGCTATTAGCTCCATTCACTGCAATCCTGCAACTTTCAACGTGAGAAAATAAGTTTCCGCGCAAGCTTTCCTGAAACGCTTCCGCAACTGCAACTGCAACAACAAACTGCAACAAATGGGCGGGTATGCGAAGAGTGCAAAAATGCAAAGTTGGCACAACCCATTGGGAATCGGTAGTGGATGGGCACGGGCACAGGCCTTCGGGTAGCGGGTGGGTAGCGAGTGGATTGGGTAAAAGAACTCTTGCACATGAAGGCCTTTGCGCATCATTGTTTTTGTTCGCCTTGTACCTCCGGGCCCCGATTCCGTTCAGCAAGATTTCTGATTAGCGCTAGGTAGGTGGGGCTGAATTACTGTGTGGCCCGAAGAATCGACTGTCGAGTCCGTTGACTCCTCATTGCTAGGTGGACTCTGATCGCCACTGACAAAAGACCCATGTGCGGTGCGCGCCGGGAGTCCATTACCTCCTCATGGCTGGGTGGACTCTTATCACAACTGATAGAAGGCTCATGTGCGGTGTGCGCCGGGAGTCCATTACCTCTTCATGGCTGGGTGGGCTCTCATCACCACTGACAGAGGGCTCACGTGCGGTGCGCGCAGACAGTACGCATTTCGAACCATATTGCTGTTCATGAATGGGGCGCGTACTTTGAATGGCAGAGGGAGATGGTTATCATGAGAAGGGTGTGTCTGGCGCGTGAAGGGAGAAAGGTAGCATGCCATGTTGGTTCACAACGAATGGATTTATTTTTGATTAACATGCGGATCATTATTCAAATGATCTACGGCGAAGAGCTACATGCTGTTTGCTGCCTACAATTTGTTACATTGGGGGCGGGTTTGAAGCGACTTAGTTTTCGTCGTTCGGTGGTACACTGGCAAATGAGAATGCATTCTAGAAAGCAATGGCTGCAATTTAGCCTTCTTTGGCCAGCACTCATGCTGAACCAGTGCACATTAAGTCAGAAGGCGCGAACAGACAAAGGTGTCACGAGAGGAAATTCCTATTAGGCCTTTTGACTAAAGGTGACCTTATCGCCAAAAATCAGTTCCAAATGCCTTTCAAGCATTCGTTTTAGGCATAGTGATAAATCTGCGCCCAAAAATGCAGAGGAATTTAAACAAAGAATCCACGGCATGCTTCTGTTGAAATGGTATGGCTAAGCCGTGGTGCCATCCTTCATCCTCCATAGAGCTAGCTGTCACGATGATTGAGACACGTCCAGCATTAGCTAATTGAAATGACGAATGCTTGGGTTGTACAGATGTTGCCCGTGCCCAGCCATCTGGAACTTGCTAGACGGCATCGTGCACTTTCCGGTACGTTTAATGTTGTGAAATGAGTACGATGTGGATGTTTGGATGGACACTGTTTGCAGTCCCGCATTAAAGATTTATAGCATGCAATAAATCGCTAAGTAAGAAATACCACCTCACGAAATACTGCAGAAATGTTGTGCATTGCGTCACTAAAGCAGCACCCACAACCATACATTATCTCTGCTGAAGGCACTTTTGTGTAAGGAATGTATGACGTGATGCCTGTACAGCAGCATCCGTAGATGCGTACGTGAGGGCATACCTACGGCGAATACCCAGCGCAGCTATAGCCTGACGATACACAGTCATGCCCCTGGCTGCCGTGGTGCCGTATGCGATCCAAATTGAGAGAGTGAGACACTCATGATCGCGACATGTTCATCGCATCGCGTTCGGCGCTTCGCGATGTTCGGGGAATTATCGATCTGTTTAGCACTGTATTTAGCGACGGGCTTTGATTATCATGTGAACGCGTCAGCTGGTCAATTGCTGCACGAGAACATCGAACCTGGTGGCAGTCTTTGTCTTCAAAATCGTGCCGTCTTCACGGTCATATCCAAGGTCCGATGATGGGGAGCTCCATATCATTGACATGCTATCAGCAGATTTTTTGTGCTAGACCATCATAATTGTCTTCAGCACACACACACACTAGGGTGTACTCTGAAGTTGAAGCTATCTTGTGTAGCCTGGCGTCAAGTCAATCTTGACAGTTAATTTAAGATAAAATTGTGAAGATCTCCAGATCACCAAAAAGCTACCAAACGATTGCTTATCTAAAGCATCATTTAAGCATTTTTTCAAGCAAAGCATTTCTTTAGCGTATACCTTGAAGACCCCTTCCCTTCCCTTCTGGAGGAGTTGGCCCCCTGAGCTGGTCATTGCGATGCGAAGCACGCTGCAAAACCGTTGTTTCACGCCAGGCGGCCATCTCATGATCTTCCGTGACATCATTAGCCTTATCCGTGAAAGTACTGCCGGTAAGATTACGCTTTATCAGGAAACAATTACAGTAATTGGACAGGTTCGGGTGACTAAAGCCTTCTATCTGAGACCTATCCTTTCTTTTCTTAGACAGCACGTCACGTCTTCTTCGTGCCGCATATCGATGTTTGTATACCTATGGATAAGCGTGGATAGCCCCTCAAACATGCACTTCTATGGAAGGACAATACAGGGTAAGACGTCTTTCCAGCTGGGCAGTATCTGATGCGGTCGGTTGTAATCGCATGCGTCCGTTCGTGCGAACCCATGCAAGTGCTGAGACTGCAATATTATCGAAACACGGCAACGGGAGCAACCAAAAACATGACAAACAGCTTTGTTGAGTTGTCACGCTTTCCGAAAGTGGCATGCTTTGAGAATGCATTGTTCTCTCTTAAGAAGCTCGCCCAATTCTCGCTTATCGGACTACCATCATTCATGTGCGTGGATCACGCCCGGTCACGGGTGCACCCATGCCTTTGAGAATGGGGAACACACCAGGACTTGGGGTAAAAGCCGCGCATGAAATTGTATTTTATGAGAAATGGGGAAATTTTGCGTTTTAAGGACAAAATTGGAGGTGGGAAAAATCCTACTTCGTTGGAATTGTGGGATATGTCCCCCATGTCACTACAATCGTGACACCCACGCATACAATGACCAACTAGTTGGTTAATCTTTGCTCTTTGCAGCTATAAAAAGGGAGCGATTATATGAACTCTTCGACTGTGATGTCAGCCATAATATCACATTCGCATATGCATTTGCATTTTGCGTCATTCTGTTGGTTACGCCACACGACTGTGTGCAATTGGGGAGGACAGTCCGCTGGATAAGAGACTTTCACGACCCCAGAAGTGCTCCGCATGCTAACATCATTGCAGGGTGAGATTCATTATTTGGTTCGGGAGTGGAGGTTGGCAGCTCCCCGGCTTTGAGAAGAAATTGTGCCAGATCGAGGATTTGACTCGCTTTCGACGTTTTGTAAGTATGCTGAGCATTGTCCGCACTCAACCCCCTCCCCCATTTATGTTGCGGATGCGACGCTAAATGCATGCATCATTGTCCAGCGATAATAGCCGGTTGTAAATATGCATTGGAGGGCATTGCCAGAAGCTTTTAACTGGACAGCTTTTCTAGCTTTTAACTATTTGTTTTCGTACCCACGGGTTTAGTTTTATATTCAATTTGAGGGAACTTCAGCATCCTCAAAATGGGCTCCACGCCCTCCCACACCCAAACTTTAAGAAGAAAGTTGACGAATCCGGGGAACCGCACACGTTGGCTAGTTTGAGGTGTACGTTTTTCGTATTTGTTTGTACTGGTCAGCCCGAAATGCAAATCGTTCTGCCAACTTGCGCACCTGTTGTGTATCATTCTCCATCGCCATCCCTCCGGACACAGCCAGTGCAACAGGCTCCCTTGGTTTTATTCGAACCTCTCTGAGTGTTGTTCTAAAGCAATATGCAACTGGCTTACCATGACTTATGAGTCTCTAATAAGAAGATAGGTACACCATGCACAGAATAGTTGGAAAATGTCACAAGATGCATGGTCGCGCGTAGGCGTGCTAGGGAAGGCCGAAAGCAGCACTTTAATAAATCTCTAGCAACTGGATCCAAATCCAGCGCGTCTGTTTCAAGTGATACGCGCTCCTTGTTTTGTAAATTTGGCTTGCGGAAGTTGCGTGGCGCTACAATTGACAGGTATGGTGGTGCAGTTTGTTTGCGATTATTATTCCCGTTATCGAAAGCTATTACACCTATTCTGTTTCCATGTCACAAGGATTGGCTGTATGCTTGCTCTATGGGTTTTTGACTGTTATTGGGATAAACTGTATTGCTATGTTTAGCCATGAGACAGTGAATGCGGATCTGTGGTAGTTAATGTCCAGCTCATTCCATTGCACACAAGTCACGGTGTGTTCGGTGTGTGGTGCTCTGTGCATCATGTCATGTTTTCAAAAATTATATAGTACTTCTGGAGAAAGGCTATTTGTGAAACTGGAACATTGTGAAACATTGACACAACTAGCCCATGGATATTGCAACCAGTTGGAATGTAACATTTTGTTCTGTGTAAGCCCGCATCAGCCTGTTATTTTGGGTATGCAAAATATTATATTTGGAAGGGAAACCTTCTGCTTATGAATGCTGGTTATCACGGAGGGTATTTTGTGCAGTATGCGGAATGTAGCCTAATGTATCACAACCATCTCATTAAATAATATATCAGCTACCATGTGATGCATAGATCCCTATTGTAGTTGCTAACATAATGAACTAACTTAGATATGTGAATGATAACATGTGAGCCAGCTATACATTTATGGTACCTATTCCCATGTACATGGCCGTGGAAACCACAGACATTGATTCACGTGGGCCGGAACACATTGGTTGCCATTAGCCAGTCAATGTCTCGTGGCACAATATTGGTTAGCTAAGCAGCAATTATGCTCCATGTTCCTATTGCAGTGGGCTTATTGGTGGATGGCAGTTGGTATTTGGGGAGAGGAGGACTGTGATTGGTTTATTATAAGCTGAGGCAAGTAATGCTGAATACTGCAGCTGGTTTTGTATGCTTTTTAATGTGTGTTGTAAATCAGCAATGTTGCATATGAAGGCTCATATTAAGCAGCATTTCAACAGTCAAACCATGCCTGTTTTAGGCTCTTTAATTCTGAGATGGTGTATTGTATGACTGAGCCCATGAACATGACAAGTTGATATGTGGTTTCAATCTTTTTGCAGCTTGAGTGCTCATGTCTACTGCTATGTTAATGAGTTAAGTGACCATTAAAGCCAATATAGATCAAATACTCTGTATGCCGAGTGCATGAAAGCAGAGAACACACATGACAGAACAAAAAGTCACTTACATACAGATGGTTCATCAGTTGTCATCTGGCAAAAGCAGTTCTGTGGCAGCAGCTTCCAAACAGTTGTTCAGTGGATCAGAACTTATTGGTTGAGATGCATTTTAATGAAAATTGCAGTGCTAACAAATTGCAAAGTTAGACACGGTGGTCAGATTGGATGTTTAAAAGGTATCAACTATGTTCTATGTCTATAATATCTCACTTACATTGGATTCCAAAACTAGTTGAAAATTCTCGCATATCCTATATGCTGCCCCCTTCCTGAAAAAGCAACTGGAGCATCTCCTCCCTGACATTTAGCAGCATGTGAAAAGACAGAACTAGTATTGCTACACGTTTTGGTCAGTTTTTATAACCATTGCTTTTTCAGAGTGCCAAGAGCTGCCGCCGCAGCAATAGCCAGAACACATCAGTTAGCACTCAAAGGGAGGGTTCCGCATTTTTATGGGGTTTTGAACTGAGACAGCCATTTTGGAGATCATTGAATGCAGTCCACGGTCCTGCGCTTTGTGAGACTTATAACCCTCCTCAGAACTTGACGCCCGCGAAGTTGTGCGGACTTTTTCGTCTTGATTGTTTCAAAAACGCCCAGGCACGCATAAAAACGCCCAGGCCCGCCATTGAAGCGTCACGCAAATACTGTTACCTTGTTGACCACGTAGTGTCAAGAGTCGAAGCCGAGGCAAGTGTGATTATTTATTCATTCGTGGCTGACGTACATCAGCACGATTTCTGGCAACAACGGACTTCAATTGGCTCTCGACCAAAGTAGCGCGTTCAGCCTATGTTCCGCGCACGGTTTGGATATTTGGTTACCTGGATTAGAGTCCTTTTGACCAGCAGTGATGAATAAGAACTCTGGGATGAATGAGAATGGATAACAGTGGGGCAGAGCTACACGCGCCTGAGGACTCAACCACCGAGGCTAAGCTCTCGTAGAGACCCCTCTGCGGAGAGTGCGCTTGGCGCTTGGTTGGCTGCCCCACCCGGGGGGCTTTTCGGCTCATTCGTAGTTAGCGCATGCAAGCTGTCCCGGATAAGCGGGACGTCGTGATGATGCAAGATTAAGCAGTGCAGTGGATTAAAGGGTGGATTCCGGATACGAGTCACATTTTGTTGTACACACTGCAGGAAGTTGGACAGTGGTCTGAGTTATGCTGGAAATAAGACTGGGAATCGAATAACTTAAGGGCAGCGCCACAACCGAGTATGCAGCGTCTCGACGTTATAAGACGTTTCCACTACGTAATCAAACGATGCGGTATTGAGCAATTATTTCACCAAATACTGACATTCTATCGGCTTGGGCAGTCTTTAATACTTACAATGAAACCGATGGTTACGAGTGAGCTTATTAGGGCAAACATCAAATAAAATGAAATATGCTCCAAATTTGAAGACATTAATACGCGTTCGGTTGGGGGGGTCAGATTTACCCTTCGAAGGTTTTCCCGGAATGGTTTCCGAACAACGTAGCCGCGCCAAATTTTGCTTAGCTGTAGACAATTGAATAGCAGAACGTCTGACATCAAAAATTTGGATGTACCTTGTAAGGTTGCTGACCTATGGCAGGTCAAAGTCAGGCCATGGTTTCAGCGAAGGCGTGTTCTAGGTAATTGTTCAATCCGATCAAACAACGGGGTGTTACACGAAACCATACATCTCTGGGACACTTTCTAAGGCAACAAAGCAATTGAATCAACGAATAGCATTGACCTAGGGTCTGGTATGAAGGTCAGACTAAGGTCAAAGCCAACCTGTTTTATTACTCTCCGGCTTTCTGTATGGACTGGTTTCTGGTGCTCATTTCGAACATATTGATAGCAGGGACCGCATTATACACCTTCATTGGACTTCTTATAAGTCAGAATAGGTTACTGACCAAGAATGACCCAGGTCAACATTTTGTTTTTTTAGCAACAACTGCCTAGCGCAATCTTTGTCGCATATCCAGATGCAAAACAAAACAGTTTTATATCATTTTGGTCATCATGACTTAGGTCAAACAAGGTCTCTGACCTTATTTGAGCGTGTGACATTTTGTTCAGAACAGTTACCTAGTCTCTAGGGGTCCTTTGGAGACCAATCTGTAATTTGACCTTGTTTGACCTTATCTCACCCAAAGATCATAACATAGGAACTTCAAACTCTGACTTAAGTGAGTTCACATACAAGTCAACGCACCCTGTGAATTTGGTGTCTCTAGATCTCTTAGTTCCCGAGATCTGAGTGAGGGGGTCAAATTGACCCCTCTACCTGAGCGAAGGTATCCAACCGGCCACCCGGGCGCGTATTAAAAGGTCAAACAAGGTCACTGACCTTACTGAGCGTGTGACATTTTTCTTAAAACAGTTGCCTAGGCCCTAGGGACCCTTTGGAGACCAATCTGGAATGTGACCTTGTTTGACCTTATTTGACCCGAAGGTCATGACTTAGGAACCTCAAACTTTGACCCAAGGGAGTTCACCTACAGGTCTACACACTGTGAGTTCGGTGTCTCTAGCTCTCTTAGTGCTCGGGATCTCAGGGGGATCAAATTGAGTCCCCACCCGAGCGAAGGGCATCCAGCCGGCCACGCGGCCGCGTGTTAAGGCAAACATCGCATAAGATGAAATGTCTTCAAATTTGGAGCTTTTCCTTGAATGGTTCCGCGACTGGAGAGTCCAACGGGGACTCGCATTCGGTGGGCCGCCGTGGCGTCGGGGACTCGCACTCGGTTGAGTTTCCGTGTCAGCATCACGTAATGCCAGCCCGGGCTGCGAAAACCTATGAGCCCGTGGTGAGGGTCAGTTCGATCCAGCGCTTAAAACTTGCCCCGTGTTACAAAGGCGTTTCCTTGTAAGGTCTTCAGCTGAGGTATAGGTCGCCGGGTGGGAGATAAAACATTTCATGTCAAGCAAAACCGTCATCGGTCGCGTGCTTCCTCTGTTAAGAAGGCCCCTACGTCCTGATCCACGCCTGGTTCGAGCCATTCTGATACATAACAGATCAAAGGAGATGACCACAGCAGAACGATCATCCATTGTTCAGTCGTAGATTAGATCCTGGCGCACGTACGACAGCAGGCCAAGTCGTTGAATCACTCGTGGAGAGTATATATACAATAATGTAATATGAATATATATATATATATTTATATATATATATATATATATGTATATATATATATATATTTATATATATATGTATATATATATATATATATATATATATATATATATATATATATATATGTATGACATAATTGTAGGTAGTTGTAGTCAGTGACGGTCATATTGAATTTAGCTCAAGGGCAGATTAGATCCAAGATATTTTGGCAAATCGATGGCACTGTTACCCCGACATAGCTCCTGAGTACCGAGTACCCAAAAATATGTTCGTAGAATAATATGCCCGTTTAGCATTCAGTTTTCTTTAAAGAAAAATATTTGTTGGTCTCAGGTAACCTCAGGTCAGGTGACACATTTAACAACAGAACAGATGGTTATATCATATGACACGAAAGTGGAAAACATTGTTAGATTACGCTTGCGGTTTTTGACGCCTACACAGGCGCCAGGTGGCCTTTTAAGTGTGTGATCCCGTCCGGTTCGTAGCGCTTAGGACTGCAGGGCGTGCTTATATTCATCTTTCGTGACCTTTGCAGGGAAAAATACGCACCTGCCAAATGGGGGCGGACTGATTTGCCCGTGTTTGGATCAAACACATGAGTGGACAGCAGAAGCAAACGAGAGTGGTTCTGCTATGCGATGTCGCGTATGTCTCATTGCAAGTAAACGTAATTTTGGAAAAAATTAAATTGCCTCGTTGGTGAGTGACAACGGGACATTCCGCTACCAAACTGTGCTTCAAATCTGTTAGTTTAAATAGAGCGATCATTCAGCGCAACATGGAAAGTAGTAACGTGGAACTTTGCTTACTATATTTATAGACCGGCTGCACGTTCAGGTGCGGCCAGTCTGTGCCATGTAAACGTGCTTTGCCTTTGTAGCCATTCTATTTTGTAAATTCGCGCAAATGTTGCTTGCAAGCATGCGGAACGTAAGTCACGGAGGCGGTGCGATGGGCATGGGAAAAGCTACCACGAGCTCGAAAGTATTGCGATGGGTAGATGTAATTCACTTTTGGTTTCTAAATCCGGAGTCCGGAAGACTTACTCGTCTTTCATGGCCGCACGACTATGACTGGCCCGACTTGAAGCCGTTAGTATGTCGGTTCTTGCACTTCATGCCACAAGGTTCATGAGCGTCCAAAGTCGCGCAGGTCCCGGTACAGGTCGTCCGCCAAATAAGGCCGTATCCGTTGCGCCCCCTCACGCCTGGGAACGGCGCCTCTGTGCGATCCCGCGGCCGCGAATGAGGATCTCCTAACGGGTCGCGTCTGCCGCCCGTAAAAGTTTGACACAACCTGTTCGCGTGGCGCGTTTAGCGGCTGCTTGAAAAACGTGCGCCGCGGAGATGCGGTCTGGTCGGTCGGACACCCGACGGGGAGTGCCGGGGATGTGAACTGGCGCCAGCGTCCGTGTCTAAAGTGGCCACCGGATTAGTGCATGGATATGCCGGAGCCACCTGGCATGCGCGGTCTGCCCTAGACGTACGGTCAACTGAACTGGCGGAATTCTCGATGGCTTGGCCGGTGGTCTGAATTGGTCCTGTTGCTTTTGGTCACTGTGGTTCTGGCTATTCGAGCGCCGGTGTTGGTCGAAAATTATGGCACGTATGAATGTGTAGAGTCGCATTAGGATAGCTGAAATTGCTCACGTGAAGAGGTCATTGAACCCGTCGGATAACATTTGACATCAGTAGGCTGGTTCAGTTGGCAAGGAAAACACATTCGTATACTATTTAGTTGTAGGTCGCGCATACGCAGGTGTTCAGCCGACACCACTCAGCCCAGTAACGTTGGCACTCACGAACCGACTCGTGCATTCCAACACAAAATCCACGACATTGTTGTGTGTGTATTGGCGAAATCAGTACCAAATCTAGGTCCATTTGAAATTTGGAAGTGGGCAATGCGATAATTGTAGTTTGCCCCGTTGTCAGATGTAGTTAGCTGATAGCGCGTACGCCATGGTCAGATGGTCTCAAATTGTCATCAGCCTGCTTCATTTAGAAATAAAAATGATGCTTCGTTTTCTTCCAAGTGAGACGTACTGTGAACGTTCGGAGTGGAACAAAATATCCCACACTCCGTGATAGCTCGCATGCTGTTCATGTAGCTTTCTCATGCCAACCAAATGAATGCTGTTTTATGTTGTGCAATACGTGTACTTGTGCGAGTAGGTATTATATGAATGTTTGGTATTTAAAGATAACTGTTTAACATAAACATAGTCATGATTTTATAAGAGAAGGCAAATATTCACCAACCATACCGTCGCAGTGCTGGGTAGAATCTGCAGCGGGCTATTTACTGAGGTTTCGATGCTTTTTCAACAGCCGATACCTTATCAATTTGGCGCGATGCTCAAGCTGTGTAAAAATTTTACGGAGGGGAGCGGCGAAAAAATGAACAAAGACAGAATAAATCGCTTTCGACAAGAACGTGGGCGGATGCTCAGGACTCGGAATTTCTAGGTGTCAAAATCGTTCCCAAGTCGGCAAGGCATACCGCACGAGGAGACTAAGTCAGTCCTTGCCCAAGCCATGGAGATGGGTCCTAAAAAGAGGCCTTGGGCTCACACCAACCAGGATGTCAATCCACTACAGGCTTTTAGAAGGTTACTAAGAAGCGCAGTTCCCTTAGCATGGAAGAGTGTGGATAACCCAGATAGAAAAATATTCTGACTTACGGTGTTACGAAACAACGTAGGTTCTGACCTCCGCGGCGTTTGGCTCAATGATGGACACACGTACGGGGAGAGATCGGCAGGATGAGCTCCAGAATCGGGGCGTACAAACTCTGAGATATTGTCCAGGAGAGCTGCTGATGCGGCAAGAAGCTCAGGGCGTGCACGATCAGAGCTAAAGAAGGCAATCGCTGGCCGAATCAGAGCTAAAGAAGGCAATCGCTGGCCGGATCCCTGCGATCTCCATCGAGGTGTAAGAGATGAAGCCTAGACCAGTGCCCGTGTGCGGCACTGGAACAGGAGGCGACCGGCAGCATCTGAACATGATAGTACTCTGCGTAAAACTCAGCCCCTGCGAAATCAAGCGTCGTTGACCTCGGTGTCGATTGGTGTTGTAAAGCATTTTTCTTTTCTGTTATTTCCGTTCATCTTGGCGACGTACTTTCGGAACGATTTCTGAAATGTCCAGCATTTTTATGCGCGAGTTGATGCTTTAGCTCACGCGTAAGTCTTACGTCTATGCGAAGAGTTGCCTACAGACGTATTCGCACCTTACACAATTGCACTTTGTGATGTGTGCATAAGCGTTGACTCGCGCGGAAATGCGTTTTGCAAGGGAGCGTTATCAGCTTACCGGGTGTTGGCCGATAAAAACATTACCTAAGCGAACTGATTGAAATGCCACAGCATTTCTGATAATTTCTCTCCGGATTTCGAGCGCTACTGAAGGTACACAAATGTGGATTAGCATACTGCCTGTGATAAATGAATCGAAATTAAAGCATGACAGTCCCACGATGGGTGGGAGAATGACAGTGACACGTCATGCTGGTGATTGTGGCACGCGTATTAGGTAATGATAATTCGATATTGTCATCGAAATATTCAAGATAAATGCACTCCTTGAAAATGATGAGCAAAAGTCAGAAAACGTTGCAAGCATATTTATCCTAGCCATGACTCAAGCGCGATACACATCAGGATGAAGCCTCCCAATTAGTAAGTGCACTCCTGTGTCAAGTCAATGCATTCGAAGACGTGCCGTAGATCTAGAAGCCTAGGCCCTGATTGTCCGCTGATAGCCGCGAGGTGTCCTTCGCCGCTCCCTAATCGTCTCTGCCATTAGATTTTTGAGCATTGCTGATGGGGCATAAGCCTGGAAGGTATTTGATGCTATGCCACTCAAATGGCCCCTGTTTTGGACCGCCCGCCACGAGGCTAACTCCGGTGATGCGATCTATTGGTCATCACGTTATCTTATGCATGCTTTGGTTCGCAAAAAGCCTGCTGTAAGCGTGTGCCAGTGTGCGTACCTGGTGTGCGTGAAACGAGTACATCAACTACAGCATCGCCACACTTCCCACCACCGGTGTTTCGACACTGAAGGCCTTCCACCACGCAGCATACTATCCCTGGCTTATGTTTACTGGACGAGGTCAGCACTTCATGCGAAACATTCAGGTATGGAAATGACTGAATTTCTAGAATCTTATTAGGCTTAACAACCACGTTATACCACAAACATTAAGGCGAGATATTTTGGGGTGCTTACACCTCAATGAGAATGATGGCTCAGAATGTCATGCTTGGCGAAAAATACCAACCAGGACAGCACCATACAAGCTAGGCAAGCAGCATTTATTCATCTCACTCTTTCGAAATGTAATGGGACGTGTTCAATGTTGCGCGCTACTCTTAAGTGTTATTTAACCCACCTTCTGATTTAAGATCAAGCATTTTAGGCTGAGTACTCAGTAAGAGCTCTGTGGTCTGATAAAGGTATATGCCTCCTGTCATGCTCTGGATGTTACCAAGATGCTTAATCGATCCGAAATGCCCATTACACCAAAGCCGCATTTAGTGCACTGACAGATACAGCATCTCTTACATGACCACGCTTTTAGCGGTCGGTATCCCAACGAACGCCAAGATGAGCACGCCATCTGAACCGGCGTCGCCACGCTTCCTATGAAGCACAGCGCTGCAGACTGACGCGGGCGCCGTTCTCTCGCGGCGTCCTCGCATACTTGCCTGGTGTTGATCGTGATACTAGCGCGTTCTCCGTCGACGCCATACCGACGGTCACGAAGAGGTTGTTTTCGCTGTCAGTCGCCGACGTTCCCGTCACATGCCTTTGCGCTCATCTCTGCCCAGTTATAATCCCCGGTGATGGTGACGTCCTCGTCTCTCACCTTCAGGTGCGCCTTATCTGTATCTCCGCCGAGAATAGCGGTCTGGCACCGGCGCTGACGACATGAACGTAGCCCGGGGCACGGCGGCGCCCGGCTTCGTCGGCATCAAGTTCTGTCAGGAGTGCAACAACATGCTGTACCCGAAGGAGGATAAGGAGAACAAGGTGTTGTTGTACGCCTGCCGTAACTGCGACTACAAACAGATCGCGGACAACAACTGCATCTACGTCAACAAGATCATGCACGAAGTCGAGTGAGTATCACGCCTCCCTCACCACTTGAGAGGCTTTGCTCATTGCGTGCGATTGGCAGTTGCCTGACCAACGTACGTCTTTGTATAAAGGATGGAGGGGGTATCGACTGGGGTGCAGCAATATTTACACGTGGCTTTAGATGATAAATGGACGCATGCGGTCGGAACCCGCGAATGAGCAAATGACTTGCTTTGCAGCGTCTGTAGAAAACTCGTGGGCACCGCATAACTTTGTCTGGCCAGACCGCTAGCTATTTTTGTCCTTGTTGGACAAATTCGGCGATTTTTCCGAAGAGGCCGTTGTGTACCTATGCTTAACTAGCCATGAGCTGCAAGAGAACTTGAGCGGGTTTGAGCGTTGATCTCATAATGGGACACATGCCACGCACTCTTCTATTTACTACGATTGTTCGGGCATGCGCCTCCCTATGGCACGTGTCAAAGCTCTTCACCTTCTCGTTTCGAAACTCAAGTCAGTTTCACAAGCAGCTCACTCATGAAAAGTTCTGGCGTTGTCGGGGATCAACCTGAGGATCTTATTTGCCAACTGGGTGAGGCGGTCTGTGGTCGGTAACGGCCTCTACGCGTTTTTTGGAGGACGAGCCAAACTCCGGGGCTGACTCGGTTGCCCGCAATCATCTGGGAAGCCCGTGGCCGGTGCCGATTGAGAGATTCGTCGTTGTGGCTTGTTCATGCCGCACGGCCCATTTTGGCTTATTTGCGGCGAAATGCTTGGCGAAAAGGGTGATAGAAATTTAGGTGCTCATGTCAGATAAAGCTCGATGGATCGCCCTGACGAACATCCACCACCGTAGCGCTGGGGTATGTATCGAGCGATATCAACGCCATGCGTAATTCGTAATTAGGGCTTAGGCCGGACATGGTGGGGAAAGAAACATTTTCTACTGTGTCAAAAATCGTGCAGAAGTAACGTGTTCGAACCATCTTGTGGGCTGCCCGACATGATACACATTTGTAACTAAGATGAAGTATGGACATGCCATGTGGCGTTTAGTTTTTGGAGCACTGCTGGAAAACAGGTGCTAACAATAATTGGCACTCAATAGATCAGATCAGTATGGTTACATGAGGCCATATAAACCGCTATCATACGTTGTTTACTGTCTCGAAGAGACATTCTAACGCATCACAGAAAGCGCTGGTGTGAAATGGCTGGCCTGGCAATGTGGAGTACAGCAAAGGCGGCGAGCGCTTTCCAACCGCACATATTCAGGCCCAGGTGGAGGGAAAACTAGGACGCACGTGCTCAGTGATTCTTCAGGATGTGATGATGGCGGAAATATGTAGTGACGCTTTGGGAGGCTGTAACAGCGCCGCGTAGTAAATCACACTTATAAAAAAACTGGAACGGTTAATCTGACTGAAACAAGGAAAGTACGAACCTCATTGTCAGATGCAATTGTTCGTGATGTTAGCCGCTGCTTACGGCCCAAAAGTGAAAGCTACGGGCGTTCGAGGTGCTTGAGCTGTTGAAAACCAAGCTGTTCTTTTTCTAGCTTGTGCGTCAGCCGGTGCTGGTGTCACTGTATGCTTGTTCAGTTGGTGATGTTATAAGTAATAGCTGTTGAGTGACGTCACGAACAGTTTGGATTTTGACGTTTCCTTTATTGTAGTAACCTTTTGCCATACAGTTTCTGAACACAGGACGATAAAAATGTCTTCTTGTCGTCATATAATACCTTCCCAATCTACTGCATCTGGAACTACTGGTCTCGCGAGAACAGTATGATACCATCGCTGTAAAATTCGCAAATAAAACACCAAGAGATTGCCTGTTTTCGCTTAGCAAGTCATCCACGTAACGGCGAGCGATGAACCCAAGATTGCTGATGATTCATACCAAGGTGTGCTGGGCTGACCATCTCATCCTTCCCGGCCGACTATTCCAAGGTGACCCGCTGTGTTGTCGTGGATCCCATCCTGGACTAATACGTAATTGTCTTTAATAACATCTTGACCGTGAAAACACCCAGTTGTAAATAAACCATGGATGAATCGCATTTCGTGAATTGAATAATGCGACGTGTAGTTAAACTTGTTTTTTTAGCTATACGATACAATCCGCAATCCCTTCACCGGGGTTTCTCCTAGCGCTGGAAAAATGTCTGATGTGTCGCCAAAGGGAGTTCCGGCACCGCCAGCCTACGCGCGTAATGCCTTCGGACCATAAAGCAACGAAACCATTAATAGTCAACAACAAAACATGCAAGACAGTGGTAAGAGCTTTATTTCTCGCAGAATAACCAGGGGAATGGCGAGATAGGTGGATTTTTATTTCGGCGATATGCCTTTATCGACACGAATATCAGTAGTCTCGAAAAGGCATGTAGCCGAGATATTAGTCCACCTATCTCTCCATTGTTCGGGTTATTCCACGAGGAACAAGGCTATTAGTACCGTCATACGCATATGCATAATGTTCATCGCCAATATACTTAACAGCTCACGAAAAAACAGGTGTTCTCCGATAGGCTTAGCTAGGTTTTGTGAAAGCATGAATAGAGAAACTGCAATTTGTCAGTCATAAAAGAAACAACAGGAACAACCATTTCCAGAGAGCTCAGTCCAGCGCTAAGCCATCGCAGAAATGAGGCGCCGACCAGTGACGTTACTGCGGCCCAGCCGACCAGTGACGTGCGATGGCTTAGCCGACCGATGACGTCACTGCGGCCTAGCTGACTGGTGACGTCACTGCGGCTTAGCCGACCAGTGACCGTCACTGCGGCCTAGCCGACCAGTGCTGTCGCTGAAGCCTAACGGGCCATTGACGTCACTGCGGCCTAGCCGACTGGTGACGTCACTGCGGCTTAGCCGACCAGTGACCGTCGCTGCGGCCAAGCCGACCAGTGCTGTCGCTGCGGCCTAACAGACCAGTGACGTCACTGTGGCTTAGCCGACCGATGACGTCACGCAGAATAACTTAAATATAACGATGGTCTTCGAGTGACTTTATGGCTCCTCAGTTTGCGTTTTTTTTTCTCGCTTGCATGGCTTTGTATTGGGCACTGAGCCCAATCTGTTGACGCTTCAAAATCATGGCATATTGGGAGCAATGGCGAAGCGTGATGCGGAGCCCGGCTGGCCACGGCCAGAGCGGGCCCTCGACTCTCTGCGGCAGTGTCGAGCAGGGGCGCAGCTAGGATTTTCGGGTGGGGAGGCTGGGAGCTCGTTGAGAACGCATCACGCCGATTTTTGACTTGCTGTCAGGAGCCATCTGGCGAATAAAGAGGACGTGTGCGTCTAGGGGAGGGGCTCTATTCGAGGCGCCCCAAGTACTGAGTGCCGAGCACCACTAGTGGCCCGCGTGCAGCGCAAAACTGCGTCCTGTCCTGAAGAACCTGTCTGCGGAGCAGCCACGTGGAGCTAACGGTTTCATGGCCGAGTAGCACGGTGCTCCCGATCTGTACGCCACGCTTATCCGCTGCGCCACCCATTTTTCGGACGTGCCTGTCGTTAAAATTCAGGATTAAGTGAATTCCTATCTCCCGGACAACATTTCTAATTCCGGCATCTTTTTTGGAGTGTATGTGCTGCGGATGGGAGGGGGGATCACTTGTTTGCCGAAAACGATTCGCGGTCAACCCAGCGGTCAGTTTTTTCCTAAACGGAATTTCACTTTGCCGATGTGCACTTTTCTATGTACTCACTGTCGATGCGCTGTGGACGGGATGGCCTCAGCTTCTGCGGTCGTCGGTGCTGTCGGCGCGACCGACACGGCCTCAGTCAGCCTCTGTTGGAGAGCCGGCAGGTGTCAGGAGCTGTCGTCGCCCGGCACACACCACACTGATCAGGCGGATCAGCGCCGGAGCGGCCTGCCGGTCAGAACCGTGGGTGGCTGTTGGTCTGGGCCAGGTCCGCAGCCTCTTCGCCTGCGGTTTCAAAGTGGTCAGGCCGCCGTTTGGTGTCGGCGTTGACAGACGTCTTTGTCATTAGAAAGCAACGACGGATGCTTATCCTCACAGGCCTTCTTTGAGGAGAGGCATTGAGGCAGTTCTTAGGTGCGAATAGACCATACCTTATGCCAATCGGAGGTATATTTTCTCGTGTAACGAGGCTGCCGGTCTCCATCCTAACTTGCCGAAATTTAAATGACTTCCATGTCACAATAACAACGGTCCGTGGCGTAGCGAGACATTGCAGAACCACTGCCATGGTCTGCTCAGGCTCACTCATGGGTACAAGCTGTCACGAGCAGTCTTGGTAACAGAGACCGAATGACAACGTCCGTGTTCCTTGTTTGTCCGCGAAGCCCGGAGGCGGCTGCCGTGCACCAACTGACCTGTGTCCGGGCCCGCCGGGGTGACCCGGCCTCACCTCCCACCGTCTGGTCCCCGCACTGTGTGAGGGAACACAGAGGCGCGCCCAGTGCGGGTGGGGAGGGGGGGGGGGGGGGCAGCGCGATGACGCAGCCAGCATGGAACGTGCAGAGCACACTAGCCGCTCGCAGGGTACTTAAAAAAAAAACTTTGCAGTGATGGTCAGTGTTGGCATGTCATCACGCTATCATGCTGTTTTTCAAGCGCGTGAAGATTTTGGAGAGCGCTTGTTCGTCGTCATTGGAAAGATAATGCCATAGAGCCGCGTAGGCTAAGCGTACTTTACGACCGTGGGTAGACACTGAGCCCCGAGCTGCACCTGATATCTCTTCTTGATGCGAAGATACGTCCTGACGTTCAAAGCGATTTATGACTGGGTCTCGCACTGACATAAACCCTGCATTTTGTGGCTTGGGTTGAAACTGTAAATTATTCGTAAATAACGTTCGCTTACGCCAATGGATGATGATTTAGCTTCAAGTTAGCGTTGAACCTTATGCCACGATAATGCTCAGTGAATAGGTAAGATATTTAACCACCGTAAGGCTCAATTTTTTCTCTTGATAGCCGCGTGAATGGCTGGATCTCATAAAGGGTGAGTATATTACGTAATAGCTCAAACGACGTGGGCAGCCAGGATGAGTTCAACGCTTGTTTGACGTG